AGTCTACCCCTTAAGTCCTATAGAAAATCACTGGCAGTACATGATTAATGCTGATCACGTGTGTATCCCCACATATTGGTGTGACACTCGAGTTTCCAGCCTAAAGGATTGGCACATTAGACTGAGGAAAATCTTGGAAATGGAAGAATTAATACACATTTCTCAAGGCAGAATGAATAGTTACACGAAAGCTTCGGTGTGCTGGTTAGATTTTCAGACCACAGTTTCCTATAAACAAGTCAAGAATTGAAGGTGGACAGTGTAAAGGAGTAGACAAACAGCTATGATCACCTGGTTGGAAGAACGAGGTCCTTCAGATGGAGACACCATCATGTTCTTGAACTGCATTGTCTGATGTAAATGAGCATTATGTGCTTTGCTCCCTTAAGGGAATAGTTATCTTTACAGGAGCAAAAGCAGGCTTATATTATGGAAAGTAGACAAGATAGACAAAGGCTTACATTCCTTTGGGCCCCCTGTCCTTAAGATCACTTATCAGTCTTCACTCCACCTGCAAGATATGAACTTACCCCCCCCCCTTTGTTTTTTTTTTTTCTTTTCTTTTGCCAAGTGACTCTCTCTTTGCCCAGAGAGCTTGGGTTATTGAGTATCACTGGTCAGTTTGCCAGATTAATTAACCTGTATATTTTGTATTAGGAAATCAGACCACTCACGGTAGTTAGTGGGTAATATTTTACAAAAGATGTACCACCTTCTGACATAACTTATATGGCTAACCATAGCCAATAATTTCCTGCAGTGTTTAGGTTTTTGAATAAGCTGAAATACTGCAGAATCGGAATGTATTCAATGTTATGACTTTAACTTCACTACCATAAGTGGCTTCTTTGAATATATGGGAACATTCCCTTTACATAATAATTTTTGAAAACCACCTCAGGGAATTGTACTTTGGACCTGTTTGTTTTGAGGGAAAGGAGGGAGAATCTTTAAATTTTACCCCCCCCCCCCCTTTTTTTAATTTCTTTCTTTTAATTTTCATTCCTAACTGTATACTTTGACAATTTAATGCTGTATCTCTTGTCATACCAATTGTAAAATTGGAAAACTCCAAAACTGCTTCAATAAAATATTATGGAAAAAAATGAAAAGAAGGCTAAAAAATCACCTGTATGTTCAGGAGAGGAGCTTAGAGCAGAAAAAATGCTTGACACGTGTGTGAGTATGTGTAAATATTAGGTGCGTTTATGCACATGTGAGCATTTGAGCATTAATACATTCAAATGCCCAGAATAAATTAATATACTTAAAGTAAAGGCAATTAAAAAAATAATACAAATGTTATACTTACCTGTTCTGTGCAGTTGTTTTGCACAGAGCAGCCCCAATCCTCCTCTTCTCAGGTCCCCAAATGGCGCTCCTGGCCCCTCCCTCCTGCAAGCAGCTTGCTATGGGGGTACCCAAGCAGGCTTACTCCTGAGCCGCTGCTCTGCGTGTCCATTCACACATAGAGCCATGGCTCAGCTGCACACCCTCTCTTTCCACATTGGCTTACTGGCTGCTGTGATTGACAGCAGCGAGAGCCAATGGCTCCCACTGATGTCTCTGTCAATGAGAGGGGAGAGTCCACAGAGAGCTGAGACTCTTGTGCACATTGCTGGATCGCAATGTACGTATTTGTGGGGTTGGGAAGGGGGGCGGCTGCACACAGAAGGTTTTTTTTACCTTCATGCATTGAATGCATGAAAATAAAAAAACCTTGAGCCTTTACTTTGAATTAAACATGCCTAAATGTGCAAAACGTGAGTACAATACATGCAATCCAGGAGTTCTGGCATTCAGAAGAGAAAAAGAAAACACCTTCTCTGAATGAGGCCTAAATTAACTGTTTCCCCGCTGCCCTATAGCAGATATACTGCTACAGAGTGGCAGAGGTACGCAAAATCACGTATATATACACGTGATTTTGCATTTATTGGGTAGAGGCCGTGGTTGTTAATCACCGGGTCCCGGCTGGTAATTACCCGTCGGTGCCCGGTGATTACCAAGCATCTCCGATGGGGAGGAAGACTGTTTTGTTTACTAACAGTCTTTCTCCCTATCGGCTCGGGCACGCTGCTCCAAATGGCTATGCACAGCACAGCCATCCGGAGCAGTGTGCTTGCAGTGAAGCACACTCCCCCTCACCCCCTAGTAAAACACTCCCTACATATAGTTAACCCTATGATCACCCCTCATATTAACCCCTTCCTGCCCAGTGCCATTAGTACAGTGTCAGTGCTTTTTTTTAGCACTGATCATTGTTTTGGTGTCACTGGGGATGTCAGTGACACCAAATCAGTTCCCCCCGTGTCAGAATGTCCACCGCAGTCCTGCTAAAAGTCGCTGATCACCGTCATTACTAGTAGAAGAAAAACAAAATCCCAGTATCTATACCGCCATATGTAAATGCTATAACTTTCACATAAACCAATTAATTTACATGTATTGGGATTTTTTTTAGCAAAGAAATGTCGTAGAATACATTTTGGCATAAATTTATGACAAAATTTGACCGCGCAATTGTCAGTTAAAGTAACGCAGCGCCGTAACACAAAAAATGGACTGGTCAGGAAGGGGGTTAAATCCTCAGGAGGGCAAGTGCTTAAAGATATATTTTTTTATTGCAATTACACAAGTTCTCTACATTTTTCTTTAAAAAGTAAAGTTTTCCTTTACACAAGACAATAAAAGCCAAGACATAATGGCGCTGAGACTTGCTCACAAAATGGCAGCATATTTCAGCTTTGATTGTTCTAATGCCTTAATTTTAACAAATGCCATAATTTATCAATGTGAGATAAGCTAAAAAATGAGTTCTTGATTTTTTTCTGCCTCAGTGGAAAAAAAACATAATATGAAAACTATAATAAAAAAAAACCAGAAGGTTTAAAACAGGTTTAAAAAAGGAAACAATGAATTCCACAAATGCATTAAATAGTCTGTAGTGTGGTAGATTGAAGGTACTGTATATAGTTTATTATACCTAATGCAAGTTGCTGAATGAATATTTCACAGGACTGAATAAGTGCCTTGATTCACTTTTGGACAAACTAGAAAGGACTGCTTAATTTTTTTAATCTCAGTGGGAATGAAGAAATCATGATTTTCAGAATATAATCAAAACACCCAAAGAAAAGTGTACAATGAAGTCTAAAAAGGGCAATAAATAATCCATAGAGTGGTAGATTGAAGTTACATAGTTCATTAAACTTAATTCAGGTAACACAATGTTTTTGTTGAATGCATTAGCCATTCAACCTCTTTTTGTTAATACTAACTGATTGTTGGTGAAGCCCATCTGATAGCCTGTCAGCTCCTGTTGACAGATGATTTTGCTGCTCAATGTAATTGCAAAACACAGAAGTTTCAACTTCAAGGTTTTGCAGTATGCACATTTCTATTTAAATAAATGAAACTTTAAAATATGACTATCACAGTAAAACCATTACAGGGAGCAACTTACAGTATTATGTAACATTAAATAAATTAAGTAAAGTTTTGTTTTCTGTTATTGTATCTTTTTTAATCATGTCATGTTTGGTACTTGTGTATATATTTTGTAGATAATCTATCATTTTAAATGAAAAACCATACTTTATGATTTAATCTGTGCTTTTAACAGAAATGGCAAAAAATAATGACCGGTATAGTTTTTTGAATGTCTCTGCTGTGAAAACTACTTTCGCTGTCTGGTAATATTTTTTGTACACTGCTTGTGGCTCACACACTGCAGTATACACTTCCAGTCCAGTCCCAGCATAGACCAAATCTTGGAAAAGAAGTAGTATAGCACATGTTTATTTATTTGTCTATTTCATGAGACATTTTTATAAAACAGTTAATGTGACATTCACTGAATGTTCACTGCAGGTGAATCAATTGTTGTAATTCAACCACTTGACCACCGGAAGAATTACCCCCCTTCATGACCAGGCCATTTTTTGCTATACAGAGCTGCACTACTTTAACTGACAATTGTGTGGTCATGCAACACTACACAAATAAATTTTATCATTTATTTTAAACAAATAGAGCTTTCTTTTGCTGGTATTTGATCATCAGTGGGTTTTTTTTTATTTTGGGGCTCCCTAGTTTGGAGATTCCATAGTGCCTTGGGCGGGACATAATCTCCAACCCCGTGTCCAGGTTTTGTGGAGAAACAGCAGGGTGTGCACCCTGGTACACACAGCCCTTATAATGGAGGTTTAGGAATACCTCAGGGCTCCATCCAAGAGAGACAGAAGGTCTCCTACATGAGTCAGAGAAGCTGCATGTGGCAGCAGGAGTAGAAAAGTCTGCAAGAGTTGGTTAATGGCCTGAGGACTAGGCCAGAGGAGCTGTGTGTGTCTGAGAAGCTCTAAGCTGTGTGCCTGGAGGAGCTGGTGGTCAGAGGGACCTGTACCTATAGCAGCAGTGCTGCTGATGAGTAGCCAGGTGGGCTAGCATTTTCATTTGGATTGTGTATTTTGCTGGAGAAGAACCCCTGCATGGGAAACATTGTGTTTTGCACTTTCCTTTTTTTCCTTTTTAACCACTAGCCTACAGGGCACTTATACCTTCTTCCTGCCCAGGCCAATTTCCAGCTTTCAGTGCTGTCACACTTTGAATGACAATTGCGCGGTCATGCAACACTGTACCTATATGACATTTTTATCATTTTTTGGTGACAGATAGAGCTTTATTTTGGTGGTATTTAATCACCTCTGTGTTTTTTAATTTTTTTCTTAAACAAACCAAAAACCACTGAAAATTTTGAAAAAAAAATTTTTTTTCTTAGTTTTTGTTATAAAATTTTGTAAATAAGTGATTTTTCTTCTTCACTGATGTACGCTAATGAGGGTGCAGTGATGGGCACTGATAAAATGCACTGATGGACACTAATAGGTGGCACTGATGGGCACTGATGAGGAGGCACTCGTAGGTGGCACTGATGGGCATTGACAGGCATCACTGATGGGCACTGAACGGCAGCACTGATATATAGCACTGATAGGTGGCACTGATTGGCATTGATAGGTGGCACTGATTGGCACTGATCGGTGACACTGAAGGGCAGCTCAGATGGGCACTGATTTGTGGCATTGATGTGCACTGGTATGCACTGATATGTGGCATTGTGGCACTGATGGGCACTGGCACATGGCACTGTTCAGCTGGCACTGATGGACTCTGACAGGTGGCACTTCTGGGGCCACACTGATCATCAGGGCACACTGATCATCAATGCCCTGATGATCAGTGTACATGTCTCCTCTGCGGAAAGCCGATTACTGGCTCTCCTCTCCTCATGAGCTGTCAGCGTGACAGCTCGAGAGGAGAGAAATGCCGATAACCGGCATTTCCCTGTTTACATGTGATCAGCTGTGATTGGACACAGCTGATCACATGACCGAGCCGACATCTTCGGCTCTTTCCGTAGATCGGTGATGCACTGTGTCCGAGGGACACAGAGCACTGCCGATCGCCGCGCTGCACGCTCCCTGAGAGGTGAGAATGGCAGGACGTCATATGACGTCCTATTAGAATGAGAGAACCACCTTGCGCCCGTCATTGGACTATATGGCGGGCGGGAGGTGGTTAATACGCCCTGAAAATTAGTTCCTGACTGGTGTGAACTCACTTGCAAATGCATCTACCACTGAGCTAAACATCCCCAAATATATATTTTTTTTACTTTTTTGCTATAGAACACCCCATAAAAAAAAAAAATTCTTCATACATTTAGGCCAAAATGTATTCTGCTACATGTCTTTGGTAAAAAATTCCAATAAGTGTATATTAATTGGTTTGCATGAAAGTTGCAGCTTCTACAAATGGCAATATATATACTGGATTTTTTATTTATTTTTTTATACTAGTAATGGTAGCAATCAACGACTGTGGTGGGCATTCTGACAGTAACTGACACTAGGTGGGAACTAACTAACTACCACTGACATCTCTAGTGATACTAAGACAGTGATCAGTGCTAATAAAAAGCACTGACACTGTACTAATGACACTGGGCAGGAAAGGGTTAACATCTGGGGCATTCAAAGGGTTAACTGTGTACTGTTTTGTGCTTACTGTGTGCAGCTAACTAGGGGATGTGCTGCTTTCTATCTCTGCTTTGCAGAAAAGCAGCATGCCTCCACTGGCAGGAGAGAGATCAAAATAAAAAAAATGTTTTTTTTTTAAAATGTAAAAAAAATAAAAATACACAAAATCTCATATATTTATGTGATTAATATCAGTAAAACTGCTATAGGGTGACCGGGAGGTGGTTAAAACACATGCACCAGAAAGATACACCTGTAGTGAATGTTTAGTAAATGTCACATTTCACTGTTTACACTGTGAATTCACCCCTAAGATTTAAATGGTAAGGTAATTTTCAAGCAACCCTTTCTAGCAACTTTGCCTCATCCTTATGAGCAGAACTAGTCTGCCCTCCACCCATCAAAACACTGTAGAGATCAATCTCCCACCCCCATATACAGTATCTGTGATTCTACTGCACACATGCATACATTGATAGAAGCTACCAATATAATTTAGAATGGAGTTTTGAGGGTAGAGGTGGGCTAGCTAGGGGATTAAGAGCAAAAGGGTATTAAAAATAATATAAACCTTTTAAACCTGAGAACTCATACAGCATTTTGGCTCGCTTGAAGAAGCAGGAAACAGATTTACTGTTGCACAGCCAATACCTCAATGGCACCATCAGAAACAAATTCCTAGAGGATTCAGGATTAAGAATATTCCTACCTTGGCAGGACAGATACAGAATTCTGCTCAAAGTGGTATGCAGTTTTAAACAAATACAGTTTTGACCTGATTCTGTTAACAGCAAACTTTATTGGAAAACAACTTACCTCTGCTCGTTATGACCAACAGTAGCTTAAGAAGAGTTTGTGCACAGGCCTATACTTATCACTGCCACTGATACAGACTGGCTCAGGAGGATAATAACATCAATAACTATCACCGCATGATTGTAGCTTTCAAAGAAGAGAAACTGATAAAAGTTAAAGAGGATTACACTGATAACCATGTTTATGGCTGGACTTGTGGACTGAGTTCAGGGGAGATGCACTGCTACCCCAGACGGAGGAGGATCAACCATCCTGACATTCCAGCTATGGATGCTAGCGCTGGGAATACCTCCACTGTCTCAGATTCTAACACCTCACAGGCTAACACCTCGAGCGCTGGCCACCGACCACAGTCTCTTAGGGTCGTACCCTACTCTTGCAAAACAGACTTCAGGGCACACAAGCCTCCCACCCTCCACTGTGGCAGCCTGTGAAGGCACAGGACCAGGGAGGGGGGGGGTCACCACAAGGAGAGGAAGAGGTCAGTCTAAATATGAAAATAAATTGTGGTTTTCAACCTTAGCCAACATTAGCTTACTCCTGCTGAACATAGTCTATTGGATAACAGAAACTGGTGTTCCTGGAGATATCTAAAAATTCTAAACCAATAATGTCTCCTACTCCATTTCATCCACATAGCACCACTGAGACCTCTGAGGTGCCCCCAGCCCTAAGGACGTTCCACCAAACTGTGGATTATAAAATAACACATCGGTTTGCAACCACTAAGGGTGTGTCCCGAAACAATCTCACCAGGGCTGAGAGGGAAGCTATAAAGATCCTGTTCTCTGATTCCTCCATTGTCGGTAACATGACTTACACTTTGCTACCCACTGATCCCACTGTTTGCTTCTAATGCATTATTGATGCCAAACTCAGTGAGTGCTATGCCCAGTGATGGATTACTAAAGAAGTATTTGGATATCTCACTACAGAACACCCGCAATGTCCTGTTATATACACTCTCCTTAAAATTTACAAGGATTCATAATACGCTCCTGGGCACTCAATTATATCTGCTAGAAGATCAGCCTTGCAACCATTAGCGGCATTTGTGGATTATGCCCTGCAGCCCTTTGTAAGACACATGTCCTCCTTCTTAAGGAATTCTGGAATGGTCATCAACCTACTCCATGAACTTGGCCCAATTCCATCTGACTTTGTGTTGGCTACTCTAGTTGTGAAAAGTCTATATCCTGTCATCCCACATCATGAAGGGATTCAGGCACTACACAAAGCCCTTATGAAACTGGAACATGTCAAACCACCTATCTCTTTTTTACTTGACCTTCTGGGCTTTATCCTTATCTTTAATTACTTCACATTTAATGAAAAATTCTAATTAAGTGTTTTGGGACTGCTATGGGTTCTAATGTTGCAATCTCTTTTGTCAACATACGGTATTCATGCACCAATATGAACATCTTATTGCATAGATTGGCACCACGTGTTTGTTTTACCGTCTCTATATAGACAAACTCTTGCTCATTTGGTCTGGAAGTGGTGATGATCTGACAAGGAGGATTAGTGAGCTCAATGATTTGTCTACCCCAATTAAGTTGACCTTTACAGCTTCTGATACCGACATCAATTTCCTGAATCTCAACATTTATAAAATGGTCTTCAATGGCAATACAATCTTGGGGACTCAGCTATACTGCAAGCCAACTGAAAGAAACACTTTGCTTCATGGGTGCAGTGCACACACCCCCAACACTAGTCTGGGGAATTCCATATGCCCAGATGCTGAGAGTTAAAAGAAGCAACTCCAACCCTATTACAGCTAAACTACAGCTTGACAAAATGATGGAATGGTTTTCTGAAAGTGGCTACTTGAGAAAACTCCTCCATCAAAAGAGACGAGTAGCGAATGCTGGGGAGTCCCCACTTTGTCCCCGGGAGAACATCCCACAAAACCTAATCTTTTTCCTACATGTTACTCAGGACAGTGTCATACAGTGAAGCATGTGGTTTATTCCTGTTGGCTGATCATTTCTAACTTAACATTAGCTTATATACCACCACCTATCATGAGTTATCTGAAAAGAAAAAGCTTGATTGCTCCTGTGGACAGGTGTCTTTTATACAGGTAACAACATGAGATTAGCAGCACTCCCTTTAAGAGAATGCTTCTAATCTCAGCTTGTTACCTGTATGAAAGAAACCTGGTAGCCAAAAATCCTGCTGAATGATAGGAGATCAAATACTTATTTCCCTCATGAACATGCATATCAGTGCAGAATTTGTTAGACATGCATTTCTTCTGAATTTTTTTTTCCTATTCTGTCTCTCAGTGTTACAATACACCTACCATTCGATTTTTAGACAGATAATTTCTTTGTGAGTGGGCAAACATTCAAAATCAGCAAGGGATCAAATACTTATTTCCTTCACTGTATACCAACTTTAAAGTGCATGCTGATTGACCATGTCCCACCCCTACCTGGGGGGGGGGTGACAACCATCGTCTGCTCTTGCAAGGGAAAGCTGATGGATCCATGAATTACAAACTTTGGCTTCAAATGGGCTTTATGAACAGCTAAGCCTCAATTGCTTTTGATGATCCTTTGGAACTCCTGGCTGACTACCTGTTGGTGCATTTGACACCCTGACTGATGGAGAAATGATGAGCAGAACAGTTAATGGTACCCAAGTGCAATCACTGCCATAATACCACTTGTGAATGCTTATACCCTTTATATACTGCTGCACACACTTATGTGTTCCCACAAGTTAAAAAAATAAAAATATGTATAAGCAGTGTCACGCAGTACTCTGTATCAAATAAACACCATCCAAATATTTTTCATAAAGTGCTCTGTGTCATCACTCAAAGCTAAAGATAATAATAAAAAAATTAATCTAAGTCATAAAATTGTGTCTTAACCTTGTGTACCAATGTGTACCACTTTAAATATTAACTTTTCTTAATACAACTGTGGCCTTAAATAATAGTTTCTTCTCATATATTAAGTGCAATAATGCTGTGCAATATATCAGTCTATACGTATTTCTCTCCAAAAATATCCATGTGTACCAACCATAAAATCACTCTTTTATGGTTACTATCTTTGAACCACACTTTCTTGTCAATAAAAATTCAAAATATAATGTCCACATGTGCTCAATTATCCATATGTCCACAGTGCTTTCCATGTTATATTCAAAGTGTCCAATGTATACAACGTTTTAGAGATTCTTCTTATTAAAACTCAATTTCTTATCACCAGTGTTTTGTGAAATTGTATATCCTTCATTCAAAGTGCATCTCCCTGTCTCCACAAAACTTATGCTCTCACCTTAAGAGTAGACCCACCATTACATTAGGACATATGCTCCTTCTCCTTTAATTGGGGTTCTTATATAACTGCTTTGATAACCACTTCAGCCACCAGATGAATTACAATCAAGATCTATCCTCCATGATGTTTCAGACCAGGGCAACGGAAAGCTCAGAAAAAGGCAAAATATATAGTGCTCTGTGTTTCCACTTAAATATTTTATTAAAAAACTTTATGTACTAAGCTTAAAAAGTGCACTCCATATCAGTGCACT